TCTAATTGAATTTAGTCATCATATATGTGAGTTTATTTAAGAAAAAAACTAAGCCATTAATTGGCAGATGAAAATCTGTCTCAGCTTATTATTTTACTAGTGTTCATCATCATTTGAGTCATCGGTTCACTTAATTCTCCAAACTCAAGCAAACTCTTCAAATCCCGATTAATTATTACATAACCCATCTTATGAACTTCCAATTCTAAACAATTACTAACCTATAACTAAATGTCTCTGATATCTATTTTCAAGTGATTTAAATCTTATGTAAACTCTTCATAACCTCTTTTAGATGGTGGTTGGAGGTAGTCAACAGGAAACCCTGGACCCGGGTTTCGTGCTACTTGGCACTCGTCAGCAAGGTGTACCTGTAATCTTGAAGGAACTGGTGCTCCCTGGCGGATTCGATCTCGTGTCACCCAGCTTCACAGTCAGAGACGTTACCACTGAGTTATGCGAGCCGTGACTAACCTCCTGTAGGACTGAGATGTAATTAAAATTGATTGATCACTGGGTGGTGATCAATGTCTTGCTTGTCTAGTCCTTATTAGTGCAGATCGAATGCTATCGATCATGTTGCAATGTGGCCACCAGTCTAGGTGACTCGACACTGCGGGCACTATGCATTGAGATTTAGATGGTGGTTGGAGGTAGTCAACAGGAAACCCTGGACCCGGGTTTCGTGCTACTTGGCACTCGTCAGCAAGGTGTACCTGTAATAATAAATTGCATGATAACGTGTACAATTATATTGACATGAGAAGTATTTCAATAGATTTATTAAAGCAATAATGAATAAAACTATTTACTTGATGTTGTTTTCCTTGTATCTTCCCATTGTTATCAATTGCAGTCCTAAATAATAATAGAAAGAAACAAGTAAAACAACACCAAGTGAATTTAAACTTCACCACATTGCACAAGCAAGTGGCTAATAGAACTCAGTAGCTAAGTGGATAACACGATGGTGTGTGAAACGAATGGTACTGAGTTCGGGTTACAGAGTGAACGTCAACAGCTAACGAGTCCCAAATAGGATGGAATGTGCGTCCTGGATTCCACTGCTAGCTACTATCTACCTGTTGTTTATTAGAAATTTCTGATTGAATTAAATTTTTTCAGAAGGGGTTTTGTGGAGATTTTAGTAATTTCAATAGTTAAAATCATGAGTCAATTGAAGCTAGACCATCATGGAAGATCTGGAAGCACTGGACGACCGTTTCGTCCTATTATCGGATACCACGGCAGTGTGCATCCACCACCCTGCTTCATGGGATTCGAACCCGGGACCTGTCAGTCTCGCGCGTGAGTGCTAAACCACTAAACCACTTAGCCATAATTCAACGGTGCTTAGGAGTCCCAGACTAAGACGAAACTACCCTCCAGTACTTCCAGGTTTTCCATAGTGGTCTAGCTTAAATTGATTCATAATCTCAACCATCGGAAAATATCACAATTTATATAAACAAAAAAGTGAATCCTCATATATACTTTTGTTGTTTTGTGGTATAACTTTTCATAATAAATTATCTAGTCAGTAACAAATTAAAAGAAACAAATTTAACACTTGATTGTTTTATTATGGTAGTAAGCGGGATTATTAAATTTAAACCCGACATTGAAATTATAAAAATACTTCATGTTTATGATACTCATAATTCTTACATCAAAGAAATTAGTAGAAACAAATTAAATTAATCATTCAACATAATAGTGGATAATAACTTAAAATGATTCAAAATTAATTTACATAAAGTATATTCAATGATGAAAGAAAAAGAAAACAAACTGATTTTGGCGCCTGATACAAAAAATGTATATAATCTAAAACTAAATAGATAAATACATGTGATGATTATTAGAAATTATAAAGAATGTAATAAAATCATTCATTGGATGTAAATTCCATATATATATAAAAATTGCCCCCGAATGCTCTAGTACAGCCGAAAGTGGTGGAGAGTCAACTCTTCCTCTCGAAATGCTCTCATTTGGCCACGTGCATACAATAACCGCCAGGGAAGACCTATTCATTGCTTTCTGTTGTTTACGAAATTGAGAGGATGAAAAGCGAATGTCCAGCGCTTTAGCCGGGTTGGTGGATACGGAGGATTCACTTAGAGAAGTTAGAAAACCCTGATTCCAAACTAATGGTGCACATGGGCTCCAGTATCCTGAGAGAACAAATGGTGTATGAACTAATTACTGGCCACCGGCTACCATGGGACTGCATCTCCTGACGTTGTTCCACTCCCTTGTGGATCAGATATTTAGGTCAAAGGCTCGAGGAGTGGCCTCCTAAGAAAACCGCCTGCTTCGGTCTGGACACGCGGGCAATATCCTAGCCCTCACACAAGTCGAATGATTTATGTGGCGCATGTCTATTTGTTGCCTCCTTGTACCAATGTTCATGTGTCTAAATAAATAAATAAAATGTATATAAATTGGTTCTTGAACAGAAATACGTGTATATCAATAAAATTGTTATATCCCGATAAGAATAATGAATATTAACTTTTGTGATCCATTTATGGAACAATGCTATGCGTATATTTTTATCGTATAATTGTTAAATAACTAAACTATTCATATTCATGTCCCTCTTATTATGAGCTTTATTATGACCTATGAACTATTATTATATGATTTATCATTCTTGAATTATGCCCTGTCTATTAATTACTACCTCCCTCATTCACAGCCATATTTGGTCAAATCTTGTACAAATGTTGTTTACTATTTTATTGGTACGTTGTGGTCTATCTGGTTGGTATGTAAACCCAGTGTGTTTGAAATACATGATTCATGTTGCAGAGGCTGAGATTTGTGTTCTGGACTGAACTGGCTGGGCTATGCAGGAAGCAGGACGGATAAGTACTCTAGACTTCTCGTACGTGTTTTATGCGTCATTGGTCCGATCGATAATTCACTGCTCTCTAATTAGCGGTATCATTACGTATACATTAACAGGGCACATAGGCCACAAGTTATAACAAAAATGATAACATTTTAACCAAATATCAATAACGGTTTTTAAATATATAATATTTTAACCTAGGAGGAGATTGATTTGAATTTTCATTGTTCATATCCCAGACTTATTTTCTGAACTATATTGAAAAGTCATCAATGCCATGGACAGGTGTTTCTTTTAACTGTGAGACTCTTCAGCATTACACAGACATGGCCCCATCATCATGGATGAAACCTGGAGGCTTTAATTTCAAGACTTTTACTCACGCCTGTTACTCTTTGTAAAGGAGCATAGGCCGCCTACCAGCGCTCTCCATCCAACCCTGTCCTGTGCAATCCTTTTTAGCTCTTTCCAGTTGTTATTCATCCTTTTCATATCTGCTTCTATATCCGACTTAATGTGTTCTTTGGTCTTCTTCTTATCCGCTTCTCTCTAGGATTTCAAATTAGGGCTTGCCCTGATTTCAAGGACGAACACCCAATTTATAGATCATTTAACCGACAACCATAGGAGTACACGTTTGAATTAAATCAAACCACTGTCCACTGCTTCCTTTATTTTTGATGGATGTCTAACTTAGATCGCTTCTCAATATAAATAATCTTCATGAACCCTTTGTATCAAAATATTATATATTTAAAAACTGTAATTGATATTTAGTTAAAATGTTAGCATTTCATTGATATACACGTATTTCTATTCAAGAATGAATTTATATGCACATGAAATTCGCATTCAATTAATGAATTATTTTATTACATTCTCCATAATTTATAATAATAATTGCATATAATTAATCTATTTATTTTTATATTGAATGCATTTTGTAAATGAGGCGCCAAAATTAGTTTATTTCGTCATGAATACGTCAGGTAACTTATCAGTGATTATCGAATGGGTTTGAAAACAGTATCATACTTAAAGGGTAGAATTGATAGAACAAAAACATATGAATTATTCCCCTTTCATGTACGCCCACATAAGTAATCGGATTGATTCTATTGAAGTGGTTGACTTTGATTACTAGCACATGTGAGAATGTGTGAGGTGTGTGCATAAAATATTAACTTTCAGGAGTATAAATAGAATGATTCAATGTATGGTCACATACAACTGACAGTAAACTACAATTAAAATCCTCGTTGTATTTGAAACAATGCTGTGTGTAATAATATATGCTCGATCAGTGTTTTGTTTTCATCTAAGCTGTACCGGTTATGACATCCGAATGTCAGAAGTCATGTGAGTCTTATCTTACTCGATTGTATAATGTGAGGATACCACTTACTGAAGTCCTTGCAAGCATGTAGTTTCTAATCACTTTATTAATTATAATTGTAATGCTACAAAGTTCCCAATGATTTTATTTTCCATTACAAGTTTTTGATTGAATTTTTTTATTGTCCTACTTTACGTCTATATCCAGTCACTGATCGCTATACAAATTAATCAGCTGACCGATCATTTTAACCTTCACTTCAACAAACAACTCCACATATTCACTTCGTTAACACTGTCACTCACTCCACAATGCTTACAGACCTGAATAGAACCATATACATACATACCGCCCCAGGTGAACATAAACACAAAACCAATATGCATTATTACTTATTCTCGACTGATCAAATCGAAATAATGAGTTCTTTCACATTTTGCCTTGTCTAACCATTTCTAGGCATTATATCTATAGCGATAATAATTAAAAAGTAGGGGGACTTAAGGTTTTGATGGTGTGAGTAACACCACATTCTCGTACTGATCTCAACGTGATACAATTCACCATTTTCCGTTCAAATATTCACGTGATCAAACGTTCATAAGCTAATATAACTCATGTGCCATTAACAATTCTATTACGAAACCTATCATGTTGATTTAAAGTTTCACTCTTCTTGATCTCTCATCCCTTTTTACCATTAAAACCACATACTTCTGGTATTAACCAAATTTTGTTTTTATTACATTCATATTGTTACTCATTATTTTTCCTAAACCTTAAGAAAAAAAATCATTGTTCGTGTTAGGTTAGATCATGTAATTTATTAGTTGTGTAAGTGGTAAAATATTTGGTATTCGTTGTAGACAATTTAAATCTTGAAAAGAATCGGCAAATTTTAAGTTTAGGGTAGTGGAGATTGTTGAATTTTATTAAAATTCACAATATCAAACTGGAAATTATCATGTTTTCACTAGTAGCTGGCTTCGAGAGAGAATTCTTGAAGTTGTAATGAAAAGTGCCCAGTGAAGTTAACAATGTTAGGTGTGAGGCAACGACCCACCGAGGACAGTGAAAGATGGTGTTAAAATATGGTGTGGAAGTTAGACATTAACGCCGTTGAATGATGGCTCAGTGGTCTAGGCGTTAAGAATTCTCACGTGAGATCCAAGGTCCTGCGTATTTGAGATATAGGACGCGCACTGCTGAGGAGTCCGGTAATTGAATGAAATGGCCGTTAAGTACTTTCAGTTTGTCGATGGTGGTCTAACATTGGTCGGTACAGGATTTCTATGGTACCAACAAATGTAAGTGAATAAATTTGAAGCACTTTTTACTAACGCAAAATTTTCCTTATTTTTTTTCTTAATAGATGAGCTTATAAGTCAACTGAAGCTAGACCACCATAGAAAACCTGGAAGCATTAGTATTATATTTGAATTAATTGAATTGTATTATGAACTAGGAATCCCAGAATTAACGCAATTGAATTAAGAAGACACAAGCACAAGCGAATGTATTGTATTTGGAATTCGAAATCGAGCATTCAACAACTACAAAAGAATCATTAATTAATTCAAACACCACAATTAGACGACTGTTTCATCTTAGTATGGGACTCCTCAGCAGTGTGCATCTTCATTTACTACACATATTATGTCACAAAAATGTTATAGAGGAAAAAATTACGTAATATTTCAGTAGCTGAAGATACATAGATATTATATATTCTTTTACATTTTGATTATGTAAACAGATGTATATTGCATGATGAGAAATTCTTATTGAGTTAAATATATAGTAATAAATAAAACTACCATTATTATCATTATTATTAAAATTGGGGAAGCCAGGATTAATCTACGTTTTTCATCATGTTAGTTGTTATCGAGAGGATATGTCTACAAACTAGAATATTGTACATGAGATTTTACTTCAACCCAATAAACGATACAACTATTTATTTATGTATAGTATTTTGAATGGTGTATACAATATTTAATTTATGAATTTTGATTTGGAATTGATACATTTCTCAACCATTATGTCATACATTAAAATCTACCGAAATCTACACTGATGTTAGAAGATTATGAATCCAATTACATGTCGGATAATGAGCAAGTAGTATTTAGGAAGACTTGAACTATGGACAAAACAATAATAAAATACTTTATGGTTTCAGTGGTTTTTCACGTGAAATACTCTTTTTAAATTATCTTGTTAAGGAATATTTAAATGATTGAATAATTAATATTTCTCAATAAATGATAATTAAAACATTATGAAATAGTCACTCAATGTATCTAATAGGTTTCGTGCTCGCTATACATCATAATGGTTGTATATATTCAATAGCTTAGTTGATAATTAGTTGATGCTTGAAGCGAATGGCAGTAGATTTGAGTTTCAAACTGAACATCAACATTGGGATATAGGTACGTACATCCAATTGACTAGTCTTAAATAGAAAGAATTTGATCTGTTGGAAAGAAAAGTCACAATTAGATTGATACACTGATTATGATTTTTTTCTTCAACATTACTTCCGTTTTGTTAATTAAGGATGATAATTACTTACTGTAACATTCGGTTTTGTTTTCCAGTGGAACATTTTATTCTTTATAATATACGTTATTTTTGCATTAAGTTAACATGAACTGACCTCGGCATATGATTTGTTATAACTGTGAGAATTTTTCATATATATGATTTCATCCTAATTATTAACCAAAAATAACTCCACCTGGAGACCCTCTGGGGGCTACTGCCGGTCGCAAGCACATATAAAAGAGGAGGGTTGTGCATGGGATTAGCGACCCCATCTCGTAGAAAACTAACTCTCTAAAAAAACATTAACCAGAAAAAATTATTCAAATCATTTGAACTTTGCTCTGGGAGTCAGGAGGTCTTCATTTAGAAGCGTTGTGATGCCTAATGGTGAAATTCGAGTTCCTTCGGAAGCCACGAGGTCGATGCCCCCTCTAACAACCAGAGCAACCATTTATTTACGTACATGGAATGCTTTTACAATATGGAAGACCGGAAGAGTCTTCCAAATTGCTTCAGAAATAAGGAGATACAATCTAGAGGTACTTGGGATCAGTGAAACACATTGGACGCAAGTTGGACAACAACGACCAGCTTCAGGGGAGCTTCTGTTATACTCCGGCCATGAAGAAGAAAATGCCCCGCATACATGGCAGATTTAAATGCCAAGGTTGGAATGGACAACACCGGATATGAAGACATCATGAGACGACACGGACTGGGAGAAAGGAACGAAAATGGTGAAAGATTCGTAAACCTATGTGCCTTCAATAAACTGGTCATAGACGGCACTATATTCCCACATAAACGCATTCACAAAACCAAATGGACTTTACCGGACCACACTAAACAAAACCAAATCGACTATATCTGCATCAACAAAACGTTCAGGAGGACTATGGAAGACGTGAGAACCAAGAGAGGAGCTGATATAACATCAAATCATTATTTGCTGGTCGCCGAGATGAAATTGAAGCTCAAGAAGCACTGGACAATGGGGCGGACAACACAAAAGTTAAATACGGCTTTTTTCGGGATACTGAAAAACTCAACAAATTCAAGATAGCCCTCAGCAATAAGTTCCAGGCCTTTCATGATCTACTCAATGGAGAAACCACTATGGAGAACAACTGGGAACGGATCAAAGAGGCAATCACTTCAACATGTCATGAGGTTCTGGGCCACAAGAAGCACCATCACAAGGAATGGATTACTGTTGATACACTGGATAAGATTCAAGAAAGGAGGAACAGGAAGGCAGCAGTCAATACCAGCCGAACAAGAGCGGAGAAAGCCAAGACACAAGCTGAACACACAGAATTAAACAAACAAGTGAAGAGGAGCATCAGAACTGACAAGCGTAAATATGTGTGAGATTTAGCGATGACAGCAGG